CCCCCCCCCACTTGAGTGTTTGCACAGAAAGCAGAACGTGAGCCCGGGAAGGTCCTCAGACCCTGCCTCCGCCCGCCTTTTGTGTTTTAACCTTTTGTTTCTCTGTGCCACGCCCGCCCCGAGAGGGATGGCTGCTGGGGCGCGGAGGCAGCGCAGCCTCCTTCGTGCTCAGAGGCAGGGAGACTCCCGAACTTTGTTTCCCGAGTAGCTTCCCTTCGCCGTGTTTCTAGGCTGGTTCTTGCTCAGATGAGGCAACCACTGCGCAACTAGTAAACATCCCCACTTTATCAGACGTTTCTTTCAGCGCTTTCCCACTTTCCCACCAAACTTGTCTATTCGTCCTGTCACTTGGTTAAAAGAAAAGCATCTAGGGGCGGCAGTTGGGAGTTTGTTGAAAGTGGGCAAATGTACTGTGCGTCAGCTTTTATGCTGTGTTGACATATTAGGAATGTGGGGAACAGGCTTCTAGAATCCGACAATGCACATTTAGGTCGTTATCTTCAGGTATGTGTTATGGGATCATTCCAAATACCAAGGTAGTGTATCACGCCTCCACTCTCCTCTCCCATCCCCACCCTAGAGCTAGAGGCTTTCCTCACACCCTTGGACTTTCCCACCTTTTCACTTTGACATGACAAATGAAATATCCAACTTCTTCAGAGTCATGCTTTTGTATAGTTGTATCCATTCTTTAGAACTTGCAGGTAGAAAGGATTCAAGTGCCAGAACTATGTAGTTTTGAATTTTCACGTCAATGACTGAAATATGTAAATGGCATGGTTACATTTTTAAAGAAGGGGAGTATGTGGAATGAATTGGACGCTAACGTTAATTAATTTTAATTGTACAGGTGTGATTATTATTATCAGCATCTAGAAAGCATCACCCAGTGCTTTGTTCTTACGGGATCTTTCTATCAGTGAACGTTATGGAAGTACCAGTACACCACCACGTCATTCCTGGAGGAAAAGTTATCAAACGTCTTCATTTGGAGTTGCTTAGAAGTTAAAGTGTTGGAATTTTTAGGATGCCTTTCCTATGTGGATTACTACAGTTTGATCACTGGGAATTCTCCACCTTAAAGAAGGTACTTTTCTTTTTAAATACTCCACAAGCGCTTCATTTGGGGGCTGGTGCTAATGCCATTAGAGAATTGTCTGGTTATTTTGAGTTTGGCCCGATCGAAGTGATTTATGACTTCGGATTGCCTTGTTTCAAACTGGGTTTGGTAGGTTCTTTTTTCATTTGGAATGAGGTCTTGAGTACTTCTGATGAAATTTTATTCATTTTTCAACGTGTCCTTCACCATTAGCACCCATATGAATGTGGATTATGTTGTCACTTAGGAAAGTTATATAACAGTGATGTGTCCAATATGCAAATGCCTTATTTTATTTGTGACTGGTTTTGTTTTTAAATATGGTAGTGAATGTTTCTATGTTAGCAGAACTTTTGGGGTTTGCATTATTTTTTTTTCTCACTTTGGAACATTTCATTTTGGTAAACAAAATCCAAAAGTAACCAGAAATAAATGAACTCCTAATAACTGGGAGTCAGTATTAAGTACAAGTTCTAACAGACTGCAAACTTGACTATGTAATAGCAAAGAGGCTGTAAGTATGTTTAGTCTTTATGGTATACATCAAGTTTTTATAGGGTTCATTAAGAGTCTTCTATTCCCACTTTTAAGTCTTACAATTCATTTTTTGTCTATCTCTGTGAGAAAGCAATTAAAAGTTCACATAAATACTGTTGGTAGTATAAAAGCATTTTGATACAGTATTTACTTTTCTTGTTTAACTTTCCTTGTTTGCCATGGAAAGTGAGAGTTTTCTTTGTTTAAAATACTTTACTCTGAAATGATTTAAGTTGTAAGACTTGCTTCAAGGTGGTTCTAAATGGTATAGATGGAGAATATCATCAATACATTACTTTGAGAAATGTTAAGATCTGGTCAAAGAAGATAATTGGGAATTGGAAATTTTTTTATCCAGCTACAAGTAAAAACTATTAAGATTTGCTTCTTTCTAGTTGTTTAAACTTGGACAAGCTACTTAGTGTTCCTGGACCTTAGCTTATCATCTATAAAATGAAGGTTGGGTGAAAGAAACTTTAAGAAATCTTTAAGATTGTGTGATTTGCTGATTGCTCCTATAATTAAGGTGCATCCTCTCTTGTGAAGTTTATTTTTAATTGTTGAACAATAGAGTTACTGACGTGGATAACTTCATGTGTATTAATAATTATTTTGTATGAATTCTTAGCTCAGGGAATATTAGTTCAGGAAATGTGTTTTAAATTTTCTGTAAAGTATACTTTGGGCAAAGTTGTGCTGTATGGAAATGTCAGAGTTCCTCAAATGTTTTCAACAAAAGTTTATCTGCTGGAATTTTTTTGGGGGGTAAGAGAGTAAAGTATTATCTCTCATCCAGTGTTTTGCCTACAGATGTCTGAAGTGAATATGTTTGCATTTGTTCTAATGGCCACCCAGAGTTGAGCTCAGAAGTTTAGAAATAGACTTTGGGGTAAAAAGACCCGAGTTTGAATCCTAGCCCAGGCAACTACTTACCATGATACCTTTGCTAGATTACTTGATTTCCTTGGATCTCAGTCTCTTGGTTTGCAAGTGGGGATCATAACACTAATCTCATTTCTAAAAGCATATATGAATGAAAAAACTTAACAGAGGGCTAAGTATCTCTAAACATATAATAAAAAGCATGATTATTGCCTTTCGGAATAAGTTAGTGACATTTTGGTACTCCCGACTTTCTTTGTTGACTGCCTTACAAGTTTCAAGCCACATTAACCAAAAATATTCACTGAAATATTCAAAGTCAATTTGGGTAGAATTCTTCACATGTTTAAATGTTTTTTTCTGAAAATATGTTCTGTTCAAGTCTTTTATCCAGTTGAGTGTGGCTTAATTTACTTTGACAAACATTTATTAATTATTACTATGTGTGAGAGTGTTGCTGAAGGTCATGGCTTCATCTTGGGATTTGTGGCCCTTCTATTTCCATATAGAAATTTCTGTGGATTGAGATAATAGCAAGTTTCTAGAATTGATTTACTCAAATTCTCTATTTTCCATGTTATCAACGATGAGTAGATTTAGGTATAGTTTAAAGATTTTGTTATTCATTTTTCAGTTATAGTGTGAAGTGGTGGTTCAGTGGTTTCTTGAGGAGGAAATGAACTACTGCACATTTTCTGGTGTTAGTTTCTATGGAATGGTCTCTATTTAAATAGAAAACTCACAGTTAGTATAAACAACACTTAGAATACTAGCACATCACTGTGAAATGAAGTTTAACATCCTGGATTTTCATTTTCTAGATTTGTAATTTAGAAGGATACATTGTCTTCTCTGAGTCATTATTTAGTTTGATGAAAATGATATTCGTTTATACTAAGGAAGTTTCTGATGGGAATGTTAAGGTATTGCTTCTTTTCATTTGTAATCTACCAGCAGATAGTTGCCTAGAAATGATAGTGATAAGAAAAATATGAAATCAGTTAATATTTAAATGGGAAAATATTTTTCCCACCAGATGTATCCAAATCTTTGTGTTTGTGGACCACATCTGTTTTAATCGGCAGATATTATTAGTATAGTAACTACTAATGTAATAAATTGTAATTGCAGTTTAAAGTGATAAATTCAAATTTGCTGATTTTTTAAGTGCCAATCATTTCTAAGAACTTTGATGGTAGTTCTGCTTATTATTGTTTAAGCTACAGATGTCTGAAATATATTTCTCATGAAGCTATGAAACCCACTCAGCTCAATCATTCTTTCCGTATTCATTCTTTTAAGTAATCTTTATTTAGTGGCTTCTGTGTGCTGAGCGTTGTTTTAAGTGCTGAGGATACATAAATAAAAAATCCCCGCACTCTTGAGCTTTTACTAGTGACAGTAAAGTATATATTAAAAGGCAGCAACTACTATTGAGTAAAATAAACCAGGAAAGGGAGATAAGGTGGGGGAGGGAAAGGGGTGGCAATTTTCAGTGGGATGGCCAGGGATGACCTCCTGGCATTTGAGGAATGCCATGAAAGAAGTGAATGAATGAGCCTCATGATATTGGGGAGAAGAGCCTTCAGGCAGAGGCATGGCACGTGCCTGCTTCATCAGCAAGGACCCAGTGGCTGGAATGGAGTGAGCAAAGGGGACGGTGGTAGGAGATGAAGTTATAAAGGAAATGGGAATGTGACGAGCAGATCACATGGACCCTTAAAGGCCATTGTGAGGACTTCGGCTTTTTCATTGAGGGATATAGGGTTCCATTGATCTGATGTAATTAGTGTTGTAACAGGATGTCTCTGGCTGGTGGATTGAGGCCAGATCAGAGGCGGGCAAGGGTAGACGCAGGGAGATCATTTCGGAAGCCGTTTCAGGTATCAGGTGAGAGGCGATGGCCACTTGGATGAGAGTGAAGGTAGCATAGAGGCAGCGAGAAGGGGTTGAATTCTGAAGATATTTTGGCTGGAGAACTTTCTGGTGGGGTGGATAGGAATTATGAGAGAAAGATGAAGAGTGAAGTATGATCCTGAGGTTTTTGGCAGGAGCACCTAATGCCCATTAACCCAGATAAAATGGGGGCTTGGGGTAGAGGAGACCAGGAGCTCAGGTTGGACATGTTAATAGCAAGATACCTTTTAAGCACCTAGGCAGGCTAACACACAAGTCTGGTTTTCAGGGAAGAAATCTAGAGATATGAATTTGTGAGCTGGAAGAAATGAAATGCTATTTAAAGCCATGAGACTGGATGAGATCGCCAAGGGAAAGATAGAAAGAAAAGAGGTCTAGATGCTAAACCTCGGGGCCCTCCAGATGTGTAAGTGGGGAAGGTGAGAAAGGGCAGGTAAAGAGTACTGAGAAGGGGCTGCCACTGGCGTCAGAGCCCACTGAAGAAAGTGTCTGCAGGAGGAAGGCAAGGTCACCTGTGTCAAATGCTGCTGATGGATTGAGCAAGATGACAGTTGAGAAAGGTCTTTGGTTTTAGGCATTTGGGAAGTCAATGCTAGTAGTCTTGGCTAGAATACTTTTGGTAAATGATGACAGGTTGTATCTTTTTCCTAATTTGTATGGTCCATTACATACCGTTAGGAAATCTTGCCTAGCCTAACTAAAATTAGTCATGACTTTCTAATTGATAAAATGCTTTCATTTATGTTATCTTAGAGTTTAAGAGAGATGGGATGATAATATCTATGTTTCTCTTACAGAAGAAGAAATTGAGACTCAAAAGTAAAGTGATTTGTTCAGTCACCCAAGTTCAAAGTGATTTGTTCAAATATGAGATAGAGCCGTCTTTTAGCTTCAAATCCTTTGTCATTCATGCTAGGGGAGATAGTAATAATAAAACTAATTCCATCCAGGCCGGGTGTGGCTCAGCGGTTGAGCATTGACTTAGGATCCCGGAGATCGCAGTTCGATTCCGGGTCAGCGCACATGCCTGGGTTGCGGGCTCGATCCCCAGTGTGCAGGAGGCAGCTGATCAATGACTATTTCATCATTAATGTTTCTATCTCTCTCTCTTCTCCCTTCCACTCTCTGAAATCAATAAAATATATTTAAAAAACCAAAAGCACTAATTCCAATATAATGTGATAGAGGTGACAATAAGGGTGTGTACAAAGTATAGGATTATATCAGGGGAGGGAGTGATTACCTTTTGGAGTCAGGGAAGACTTTCCCAAGTTTGGATTTAATAGATGCATTTTAATATGTGGTCAAAGTCTAGGCTTGGAAAATATAATGTGCAAAAAAAAAAAGGGATGACACATGGGATGATAACTGGAATGTATTTGGGATGCTTAAGCCATCTGATTCATACTGAACTTGAAGGAGAGTGGATGAGAGAGAGGCTGGAGTGATGGCAAGTGCTAGTTCAAGCTTGGATTGAAATATGGTTTTAATAAAACAACTGCTAGGTGCCATCTTAAATGCCCCTCATGTCACATGAGATAGTTGTACACAATGTCCCTCATGTCATATAAGATAGCTATACACAATGTGTTAGAGATGACTGAACATATGTACATCACCACAAAGGTACTTAGTTCAGGCTGCTATAAACA